GTTCGCCGGTTAGGATCCCGGGCGCACACCAATGCACCGCTTGTCAAGCCATGTTGTGGCAGCTTCTCATAAAAAGTAGAGGAAGATGGGCACGGATGTTAGCCCAGGGCCAATCTTCTTCAGCAAAAAGAGGAGGATTGGCTTCAGATGTTAGCTCAGGGCTGGTCTTCCTTCCAAAAAAAAAAAAAAATTTAAGTTTTAATCTGATTAGCAGACTATTTTCAAGAGTCACTGGTGCTAAAGGAGTTTTTTTATTTTAAAGATGAAGATCATTTTTGAAACCTTGTTTTGTTATTTCAATTTTTTAAATGAACCTTTTTATTTTAGAACAATTTTAGATTTACAGAATTATTGCAAAGATAATAGAGAGAGTTCCTATATACCTCTCCCCCAGTTGCAACTATTATTATTACCTTATATTAGCGTGAAACATTTGTCACAATTAATAAACCAATATTGATATGTTATTAGTAACTAAGGCTGTACTTGATTCAAGTTTCCTCAGTTTTTCCCTAGTGTCCTTTTACTGTCCCAAGATCCCATCTTATAAACACATTATATTTAGTAGTTATATCTCCTTAGGCTTTTCTTGCTTGTGGCCATTTCTCAGACTTCCCTTGTGTTTGTGACTGTAAGAGTTTTGAAGAGTATTGGTCAGACATTTTGTTGATTGTTCCTCAATTGAGATTTGTATGATATTTTTCTCATGGCTAGACTGGGATAATGTGTTTTTAGGAGGAAAATAATAGAGGTAAAATTCCATTTTCATCCCATCCTATCAAGGGTACATGCTATCAACAGGAATTATTGCTGTTGATGTTGACCTTAATCACCTGGCCTCAGATAGCATTTGTCAGGTTTCTCCACTATAAAGTTACTCTTTTTGCTTTCCCTCTCCGTATTGTACTCTTTGGAAGAAAGTCACTATACACAGCCCACACTGAAGGAGTGGGAAGTTATTGTCCACTTCCTTAAGGATGGAGTAGCTACATAAATTATTGAAATCTTTCTGCATGGCATATTTGTCTATTCTTGCCCATTCTTTTATTTTTATCAGAATAGATGCATAGATATTTATTTTATACTTTGGGTAATAACCTAATTCTACTTGATTTATTTTGTTGCTCAAATTGTTCCAGCTTTGGCCACTGAGAGATTTTTCAATTGGCTCCTTTATCCCTCTGATATACACCCATCATTTTGTGTGCGTCTATGTGTGTCTGTGTGTATGTGCTAGCACTTTCTTGCTTTTTGGCACTATAAGATGCTCCAGGCTTATCTTGTATATTTCCTGCCTCAGTCCAAGAATGAGTCATTTCTCCAAGGATCCTGGTTCTTTCATTGAAAAATGGTGTTAGAAACCAAGATCTGAGTCGTCATTGTGTTCATTGCTATTGGGGTATCATTGTATCTAAGTCCTCTCAGCTGCCAGAGTAAGGAGATATATGTGTGAATGGTAACCTATGTATATGTAAATATCTATAACTATTTCTATATGTAGCCATCTGTATATATAGTAAGCTAAACCTGAGTTCATACTGATGTCTCCAACTTGAATACATTACATGTGGATCATTCTAGCATTGCTTGTCTGTAAACTCCCACTTTAACAGTGAGAAACTTGAATTCTACCATCTGCCATCAATTTACTTCGTTGTTTAGTTCCAAACATATATATAGTTATTTCAGAATTGTTACCTTGTATGCCCACAGGAAACAACTTTATCAGCTAGGGTACAGTGCTTATGTACAGTTCCTTTTGCTTTCTTTTTTTTTTTTTTTTTTGTGAGGAAGATCAGCCCTGAGCTAACATCCCTGCTAATCTTCCTCTTTTTGCTGAGGAAGACC